GGGCTCGCCAACATGGGGCCCCAGGAGCTGGCCGACATAGAGGCGCGGGCCCCCCGCGGCGCTCTGGCGCCGCCGCCGCCTGGGAACCCTCGCCGGCCACGACGCCTCGGCCAGGCAGAAGGAGGAGTTCCCACCCTGCCGCCATCGTTCCTTCATCCTCCCCCACTCCCTCACTTCACTCTCCGTCCAACCTCCTTCCTCCTTCCCTGCCTTTCCCCTTCCTCCTTCATTATTTCCTTCCTCCTCTCTCCACCCCCTCACAGCCCTCCCCTCCACCCCCCTCCAGTCCTCCTTCCCATCCCTCCCCCAAACTCTCCCTGGCCTCCCCCTCTCCTCCACCTCCCCTCTCCTCGCGGGGGACTTGTGGGGAGGGAGGGGGGACGAGGAGAGGGAGGGGCGCCACGGACAAAGACACTTCAACAGAACTCTCCCATAGCGTTCCTTTCGGGAGGAGGAGGAGGAGGAGGAGGAGGAGGAGGAGGAGGAGGTGAGGAGGAGGAGGAGGAGGAGGAGGAGGAGGAGGAGGCAGAGGAGGAGCTTGTGAGCCAGGTGGGTCCGCGACGGCTCCGGGGACCCAGTCCGCGCGAAAACGCCCGGCATGAGCACGAGGAAGGCGACGCCCAGATCTCAGAGCCTGTCCGCTCGCCCACCTGCTCCACCTGAGCCGCCCCCTCGGCGTTTGGCCCCACCCCGCGGCCCTTTCGGCGGTGGCACCGCAACGCCCCGCGGCGGTGGCACCGCCAGTGGCATCGCCCGACGCCCCCCGTCGGTGGGGCAGCCCTCAGATGAGGGCGTCGCCGAAAAATCGCGGTGCCTGTTGTTTTGTATTTCTCGGCCTCTGGAGGCCGCTTCCAAGTCCCAGGGCCGTCAAAGAACGGCTCAGAGCGAATCGGGAGCGTCCAGGAGGGGGTGGTGCCGAATGGGGGCATCTTCTTCTTCTTCTTCTTCTTCTTCTTCTTCTTCTTCTTCTTCTTCTTCTTTCGACACGTTTTTTGGCCCCCCATTGAGTCCGCACGCATGCCTCGAGCCATGATTCTGGCTGACGCCGCACCGCCGACCCCTTGGGGCGGCATTAGAGGCCTCTTTTGGGCCTCTCGGGGGTCTCGTGGGAGCCTCTTGGGGGCCTCTTGGCGCCTCCTCAGATTTTTCGAGGCCGAGTGCTCGAAATGTCAACTCGGGTTCCCCTTTGGGCATCCTCTTGGGGCCGTCCTGGGGCCCTCCTGGGCCGTTTTGGAAGCTTCTGGGGCCGTCTTGGGGTCCTCTTGGGCCGTCTTGGAGCCCTCTTGGGGGCCTCTTGGGTTATCTTGAGTCGATATTCAAGGCTTCTTGGGCCGCTGTGGGCCGCGTGACAGCCCAAGAGACGAATGTGCTAAAGATGCACGCGTTCCAAAAATAGATGGTAATATTGTTGCTTCGGGCCTCAGGACGCCTCTTGGTGGCTTCTTGGGGCGTCTTGGGGGCCTCTGGGGCCGTCTGAAGGCAATTTTAGGCGTCTTGGAGCGATCTTTGGCAACTCGTGGCCCTCAAAGGAAAGCGAGGGAAACGCGAGGGAAAGCGAAAGCAGAACGGAAACGCCGATCTCCTTCCTCTCCCTTCTCCTCTTCAAAGGGGATCCCCTTCATCTTCGGCAGCGCCACCTCTGCAAGAACGGAAGCACCACTGTCCTCCTCCTCTCCAGAGCCCCCTTGACGAGGCAGGGGAGAGCCAGGCGTGGGTCGATCCCTGCCGACCTGCGCGTGCCTCGGCAGCGACGATACGGGCGAATAGCCCAGGGGCGGGCACTGCACGCATTCGCTCGGGAGCCTCGCCGAAGACATGGATCCTTGGCGCCCCTGGATGCGTGTGTTGCTCTCCCCTGGGCTACATTCGCCCCTCTCGTCGCCTCTGAGCCCAGAGATCCGAAGTCTCGATTTTTTCGAGACGCGGGCCCCCGACCTCCCGACCACTTCCCTGGGACCGGCTTTCCATCCCGAGTCGTTTTGTTGACGGTCCCGAGGCTTGGCGAGGGCCCCGAGAGGCCAAAGACTATGAGAAACTTCTGTCTCGATTTTTTCGAGACGCCCGATGTCTGGGTTCGCCCTTCTCGTCGCCTCTGAGTGCCCCCCCCCGGGGCCCCCTCTGGCGAGAGGGAGCACGGGGCCCGCCGCCAAAGGGGGCGGGCCGCCGAGCCTTACGTCGGGCCTGTCCCCTTACAGCGGGATTTTCGACGAAACAGAAGAAATACCACCAGAATAGTTTAAAAGATAGTTCAAAAATAGTCTGGGGCGTATTTTGGGGGTATTTTTGTGCACCTTTTTGGGGCATCTTTGGGGTGTTTTTACTCTTTCGTCGAAAATTCCCCCGTAGGGGGGCAGGCCCAACTGAAGCCGAGCCGGCCCGCCGCGCCGGCGTCGGGCGGGCCGCCCGTGCGGGCGCCCGGGGCGCCGCGGCAGCAGGCCGCGGGACGACGGGCTCGGGTGAAGTCGGGCCCGTCCCCCTGAATACGAGGGGATTTTCGACGAAAAATGAAAAATACCCCCAAAATAATCCAAAAATGCTCTACAAATAGTCTGGGGACTATCTTTTGAGTTTTGTTTTGAACTTCTTGGGGTATTCTTGGGCTTAAGTTGGGCCTGTCCCCCTAAATACGAGCGGATTTTCGACGACAAATAAAAATACCCCAAGAATACCCCAAGAAGGTCAAACAAAAAAGTCAAAAGACAGTCCCCAGACTATCTGTAGAGCATCTTTGGATTATGTTGGGGGTATTTTTCATGTTTCGTCGAAAACCCCCCTGTAGGGGGACACGCCCGACTGAAGGCTCGGGGCGCCCGGGCCTCGAGCGTCAGGTCGGGCCTGTCCCCTTAGCAGGGGACTCTAGGCCTCCAAGGTGGGGTCGTAGCAGATGGGGTCGGGGGATCGCGGCGCATCCCCGATGCATCGCCGATGCGGCTCGATGTGGAGCCCGAGTTGCTTCACGTCGACGTCGCCGATGCGTCGCCCACGTCGGCGACGCATCGCCGACGCATCGCCGATGCATCGCCGATGTATCGGCGATGCGGCGCGATTCTCCGACCCCATCTACTCCGACCCCATCTAGGAGGCCTCTAGGGAATGTGGGCGACAAATAAGAAAAATACCCCAAGACGCGGCGCGACGGGCTCGGGGCGCCCGGGCCTCGAGCGTCAGGTCGGGCTTGTCCCCTGAGGGGGGGATTGTGGACGACAAATACAAGATCCCCCAAGATGCGGCTCGACGGGCTCGGGGCGGCCGGGCCTCGAGCGTCAGGTCGGGCCTGTCCCCCTACGGGGGGATTGTGGACGACAAATATAAGAAAAATGCCCAAAACGCGGCGCGACGGGCTCGGGGCGCCCGGGCCTCGAGCGTTGGGGAAGGCCTGTCCCCAGCGAAACATTTAAACCACAAAAAAAAGAAAGCAAAGAAAATCAAGAATGATCAAAAGGTGCCAAAAATGGTCCCCAGACTATGTTTGAAACTATTTTTGAGTGTTCCCCCTGTAGAGGGACAGGCCCGACTTAGCTCGAGCGACGGGGCGGTCCTGGTCGTCCAAGGATCAGGCGATCGCAAGCATGGATCAAGGGGGCGTGGATTAGCGACGGGTCCCGTCTCCAGGGGAATCGCGGATTCCCGCCGCCGAGCGAGGCGGCACCGGCCGCATTTTGGGGAGGGCACCGCGACCGCGATCCAAATCCATGGATCGCTAATCCATGTTTGCGCGCCCCCGAGTCCAAGGAGGCGCAGGCTTGCGGGGCACAGGGAGGCGGGGGTCCATGCAGACGGGGGTCAGCCAGGACGTCGGATCTTGCAGGGCCCTGCACGAGCCAGGCGTGCATGGACCCGGGCTCGCGTGCAGGATCTTGCAAGAGCTTGCAAAGCCCGACCCGGGTCTGGATCCACCCGGGCCAATCGATCCCCGAGGCTCGATTCGCCCGGGCTCGGTTCGCCCAGGAGCCTCGATTCGCCCAGGCCGCCCTTGGCATCGCTCGGACGTGTGCACCTATGCTCGGCGAGGGCCACCGAAGAGCATCTGGGAGCACCTGGCGGAAACGAAAAAACGCACGGCATCAAGACGTGCACGGGGAGTGCACGCCCGAGCGATGGCGAGGGCCTCGAGCGGCAGGGCCATCGGGGGTGTCCAAGCGGGGGAGCGATGGATAGGTGGGGGAGGTCATGGCAGGGGCCATGAGGTCTCCGTGGATTTCACGGCCACTTCTTCTCATCTCGAGGCGTCCCTTAATTAGCCTCACCCCCTGGGCCGCGCACATACCTCTGGCCGTGATGTTTGCTGACCCCCCTCGTGGACGCTCCGTTTCTGAGACGCCCCCGAGAAGAGGACCAGTCAGAGGAGCAAGAGGTCACGATAGTGAAACGCTCCAGGATTCCCAAGCTCTCCCAGATCTCGTTAGTACACTCTGCACGGGCTGCAGAAAAGCGGCGGCCGCTTGATCCTCTTAGTACTGCCGGTCTCTCCTCCCCGTTTTTTTCTCCTCGTCGGCCTGTTCTAGCACGGTCAAGTTTTGTCCCATTCGTTGGGAAGCCAGCAATGTGCATCGTCAGGCCTTCACGCAAAATTCATATACTGGCACTGCTGGACCTTATCCTGACCCTGCCGCACCATGGCATCATCATTGTCCTAATCAAGGCGCAGGTCGTTCGCTGTTCTGCGGCCTCCTGGGGACCGCTTCCAGACCCCCCCGACCCCCAAGCAGCGAGAGGGGACGAGCAAAATCGTCGCTGGAAAGTGGCGGCGTGTAGGCAGAGAGGGCCTGGGCCTTCCACATGGGGTCCGAGTCGAAGGATCGCGCCGCATCATCGATGCATCGCCGATGCGGCTCGGTGTGGGGCCCGATTGTCTCCTCGTCGACGTCGCTGGTGCATCGCCGATGTGCCTCGATGAATCGGCGATGCGGCGCGATCCTTGCTTGGGAGGCCTCCAACGACGCCTCGCGCCGTGGAGGAACGCGGCGGAGCGTCTCTGCCGCCGCTTCTCTCCGGCTGCCTCCGGCAAGTCCGCCACCGCGCCAGCGCAGCATGCTGGTTGGCAGCTGCTCGAGAAGGCACGGGAGCCCGCTGGGGGCCGCTCTGGGCAGAAGGCGCGAGCTCTCGGGTCGTGCTCCCACTTGTGGGCCCCTCTTGGGCCCCGTCTCCGGGCCCTCCTGGGCAGTCTGGGGGCCATCGTGATGCCGTCTCGGCCCGTCCAGGAGTCCTCTTTGGGCCGTCTGGGGTCGTACAGGAGGCCCTTTTTGAGGCCAGCCTGAGGCGCTCTGCGGTCCAGCCAGGGCTGTCCAGGAGCCCCCTCTTGGGCTGCCTTGAGGCCGTCTTGGAGACTCCTGGGCTGTCCTGCGGCCCCCTCGGAGGCCCCTGGAGCCGTCCTGGGCTGCCGCGGAGGTCCTCGCGGGCCGTCACGGAGGCCTCCGGGCCCTCGCTGGCCCGCCCTGGCGGCCTGCCTTGCGCTCGAGGCAGAGATCGTCTCGGGGCAGCTCCGACGGCCTGGAGAGCGCCAGGGGCTGCAGAGCCCGGGAGAGGGAAGAAGGGCGGTGCGCGCAGGGATCGGGGGCGGCGAAGAGGGAGGGGGGTGATGACTAGGGGGGGGTGGATATCATGGCGGGGGCCATGATATTTCCCAAGATCTCATGGCGCCTCTTCTTATCTCTTTACGTCCCTGGCCCCCCCGCCGGGCCGCGCACATGCCGCCGGTCATGATTTGCACCCTCTCTCTTGGACACCCCCCTCTTTGGCCGCACCCGAAGGGAGCGCGACGAGCGGGCGGGGGGGGGGAGTCCGCGAGGAGAGCGGAGAGGCCCTGCCGGGCAGCACCCGGCACTCCTGGCGCGCCTCCACGCGCCAGGGGGGGGGGGGGCACGGCGGCGGGCGGAGGAGAGCAGGACGGGCCTGTTGATGGTGTCCGCCTCGGGGAGGCCCTCGCCAGGCCCCAGGGCCGTCCAGAAACGACTCGGGGTGAGAAGCCGACCCTCCCCTGACCTTCCAGAGAGCTATTTTTTAGCACTGGAGGCCTAAAAGCCTAAAAAACTACGCGAAACAGCCTAAAACCAAGACGTAGAATAGCCTTGGGATAGTTAGGATTTTAAGTCGCGTGTTATTTTTCAGCCCTCTGGGAAGGTCAGGGTTGGGCGAGGGCCGGGACGTCGGAGACACCGTGTGAAAGACACCGAGGCGTCGGACGCCCGGGCGCGGGATCAGTTCTCGACTGCTGCAGCGGCCGAAGTGGCCACGAGACCCCGGGGGAAGGAGCCGAGACCTCCTCGGCACACGCCCGGGGCAGCGCCCAGGGGGGGGCCACCGCCAGGGGGTCACCAGCTTTCCTCCTGGAAATCGAGGTTCAGGGTCGAAGCTCGAGTGTGTTCGGGACCTCTGGGGTTGTCGTCGAGGGCGCTGGAATGTTCTTGGGGGCCCACCTCCTCGAGAAGATGGCGTGTCCCAGCACGCTGCGAAACCATCGCGGCGATGGGGGGTGTCTGGGAGGAGATGGGCCGTCTGCCGCCAAAGAGGCGGCCGGTCGCAGGGCTCTGGCTGTGCCCGGGCGACGCCGAAGTCCAGATGGAGCAAGTCCACCCGCAGCTAAGAGGGTCTCCGCATGGTGGGCCCCCCAGCGAGGCGAAGGCCACCTAGGGCAGTGGGCGGTGTGCGGCGGCGTGTTGGTGCTTGGTGGCGGTGGTGTGTGGTGGCGGTGGCGGTGTGAGTGGTGATGGTTGCGGGGGGTGGTGGACGAGGACATCGGTGAGCCGGAGTTTTGCAATCGCGTGCACAGGAGGTGGAAGGGACGGAGGGGGGCAGCAGGAGTATGAGCGGAGGGAGAGCCGCGAGGCCTTCACCCAGCACGTCAGCGACATGGATGTTCAGGCCAAGGTCGAGGCCAGCCACCCTCCCGCCTCCCTCGTCGCACGCCTTCCCCTGCGTGGACCCATCCCGAAGGACGCGTGCAGGCCAAGCCGCCGCCATAGCCGCGGCACCCAGACGTCGAAGGCGATGAGGGGCTCGCTCGCGCTGGTCCCTGACGGGAGGCATCGCCCACGAGGTCAACCGGCAGGTAACGGGGTTCAGCGCAAGTGAAGCTCAGCCAGAGCGCCGGATGCTGCAGGATCTTGCCATGCCGGGACTCGGTGGAGCCGTGTTTGGGGGCCGCTCACGGCCTTGGAGGTGGTCTTGCGCATTTGCTGAACCAGGTCTGGGAAGCCCCATCCGCGCACCCACACACACACAGAGAGAGAGAGAGAAATTCGGCGCAACGCCTTCTAATTGGTTGAGGCGGGTTTGCGCTGAGCCTGGCTAGTCCATGCGCGACGAGTTCTGATCCGTCTCTCTCGGCGTCCATGGGCGGTTTGTGATGCCAGCCCAGGCGGCGCGATGGCCGGCCTCAGCTGTGTTGGGGAGGTTATGTGACATGGCACGCGGTGCAGCAGCCCGTTGCCCTGAGAACCGCCCGCGTCCTTCTGGGGGGGCCGCTCCCGCGAGAGCTGGCACGCATGCCGAAGCTGACACTGCTGTAGCGCTGACGTGGCCGCACAAGAAAGAACTGTTGGGGTGAAAAGTCGACCGTGCAGCCATAGGCTGCGGGGCGGGGGCGGGGGGGGGTCAGAACACGTTATGGGATACGTTCCCCCTCTCCCTGGGCATCGAGGGAGGCCTTCGGATAGATCACAGGGGGCAGGTGGAGACTGGAAAAGATTGTCGGGGGCGGCTGGAAAAGGGACGGCCGGGGTTTGTCAACGACTGTTTGCGAGAGGGCTCAGCTCGATAAGTACATTAAGGTTCGGCAAGATTCGGCCCCCAGTGCCCCCCCCCGACAGTCATTGAGAGCACCTGCCCGCGCCCCCCACCCCACCAGCCCTCCCAAAAGTGCTTCACTCCCCGCCCGCCCCCGAGTCCCTTTCAAATCCCCCGCCCTGGACGGCCCAAACTCCCCCCCGCCCGACAGTGCAAGACAGGCCTCGCCCACCCCCTCCTTCCTTCGACAGCCTCTGAGCCTCTGACAGATCGCACCCCCCCCTCCCTCCAGCCCCCCCCCCCCCCCCCCCTCCAGCCCCCCCCCCCCCCCCCCCCCCCCCCCCCCCCCCCCTGACAGCCCCTCACTCGCAGTGCAAGGTCCGCCACCGAATCCGGGGCGGCCAGGGGGGGCCCAGGGTGAGGCGGGCTGGGGATTCTCGGGGCGGGGCCCTGCGGGGGGGAGGGGGGGCGGAGCGGGGTGGGCAGAGAGGTGGGGGGAGGGCTGGGCCCCGTCCTCGCTCCCTTCTCCTGAGCTTTCCCCCCCCCACCCCCCCCCCCAGTGGTAGCTGACCAAGGCAAGGCGTCCTTTCGGAGCTGTGATTCTGACCGCGCCTCTCTGCCTTCCCAGGCCCCCAGCCGTCCCCCCCTGCCCTCCGAAGGCTGGGGACTGTCGGTGGGCGCCATGGGGGGGGGGGGGCAGGACTGCCCCGGGGAAGGCTCCCCGGGTCGGGGCGCGGGGGCGAGTCAAAGAATATCTGGGGGCCCGTTGGAGGGAAGGGGGAGGCAAGGACTGTCAAGGACAATCGGGGGGCGGGGGGCGTTGCTTAGAGAATTGCGGCGGTCCTGACATGGCCATGATAAACAGGAGGCCGTGGGGAAGGGGGTCAACAAGTCTGGCGGGGAGGACGCCACGGAAACCTATATAACGTGTTCACCCCCATCTCTTTTGTCACCCTCATCCACTCCCTGGGTCTCCTCCTTCCCCGCCTTCCGTCCTCACTTCAGATTCCCCCCACCCACCCTCTTGCAGTTTCAGCCGGCAGGTGCCAAAGCCTTCTTGGAACAGGGTGGGGGGATCAGCGAGGAATGGGCGAGGGGGAATGTGAGGAGGAGGAGGAGGAGAATGAAGAGGAGGGAGGAGGACGAGATTATACAGCTCGAGCGACTGACAGGGCAAGCCCTCTCTCCCTGCCCGAGCCTCCCTCCGCCTCACCCTCTCCGCCCCCTTCCTCTCCCATCCTTCCCTCCTTTAGTATTGCCCTGCTCGACTCCTGCTTCCGCTGCTCCGCATCCTCCTGGCCCTCACCCTCATCACTACTGAGAGCAGACGTCCGCTGACGGCGGCAAGGCCTGCTGCTCCACTAGGGCTAGCGCGCGTTAAACCCAGGCGTGTATCATTTCTTCTGCGCTCCGGCCGACGTGAGTCCCCGGGCCTCGCGGCGTCATCTCCTGCATCCCTGGGCATCCTCGAGCTCGGGCGCGATTCAGCGGTATGCTTCGGTAGGTTCTTTCATGTCGACGCGTCGACAACCCCAGTGCGGGCTGTCCAGGTTGAACTCCGCCAGTTGAACCGGCCAATACGGCAAGACCCCGCGACGTAAAAGCCGCCGGCCGTTCACAGTTAGGCAATGCACCACTGAGTCAGAAACCAACGCGGAAGCCGTCGCGACACAGACTTGCGACTTGCCCCAGCACGTGAGGCCGGGCGCCTCCCTCTCCCTATGCCCCCCTCTTGTCCCCCACGTGCGAGGTAGAGGACGAGGCGCAGATAGTGGTCTTTGACGTCGCCACGGTGACGGTCAGGATGGAGAGGAAAAACCTCCAAGAGAATGAGGCCCGACGGACGCGCCGCGGCCAGGAGGAGAAAAAGCAAGCGGCGCACCGCCGTCAGGCGTGAGCACGCGCATCTGCGCGTGGGCTGTCGAGGGCGCGCTGGCGCGCGCATGTTCACGTTGTTGCGCACGTGAGCGCGCCCGCGTCTGCGCGTGCTTGTGCGTGTGAGTGTACGTGCCCAGCCGCCGACGCAAAAAGCGTGTGAGTGTGCGTGCGCGTGTGTGCATGCGTGTGTGCGTGTGCGCGTTTGCGTGTGCGTGTGTGTGCGTGTGCGTATGTTCGTATGTGCGTGTGCGTGTGTGCGTGTGTGCATGCGCGTGCGTGCGTGTGTGCAGGTGTGCGTGTGCGCGTGTGCACGCGGGTGTGCGCATTTGCGTGCGTGTGTGCGCAGGCGCGTGTGTGCGTGTGTGCGTGTGCGCGTGTGCGCGTGTGTGCGTGTGCCAGTAGGCATGTGTACGTGCGTGCATGTTTGTGCGTGTCTGCGTGTGTGCGTGTGTGCGTATGTCCAACGCGGCCTGATGTGTTCGTGGCGTTGGGTTACAGTCTGGCGCAGCCGCTCGGATTCGATGTCGGATCCGTGCAGCCAATTCGATGCCCGATCCGATCTGATGTCTGATTCGGTGCTGAGTGAGCCTGCCCCCGGAGCCCTCTCCTCCTCTTTCTCATTGCTTCCCCGTTTCCCTCCCCCGCCCTCTTCCTAATCGTGTGGCGTCGTATTCCCTTGTAGACTTGGGTCTTTGGACCCAGGCTAATCCATGATCCAAGCCCCTCCCTCCCCTTGGGAAGGCCGTCGGACCAGTGCACGCGCCGCTGTTCCCCGAGCCCAAGTTCGAGGACGCGCACTCCCCAGGGGGGGGCGACTTCGAAAGCGCCGACCTGGGCAGGCCGTTATGTTTCTCCGACACCGTAGGTAGTTGCCTTTTTCGAACGATGAGGTTGCTAGTATGTGTACTACTCGTGTAGTGTTCTCCGAGAGGCTACATCACACATTTTTAGTGCGTGTGCATTAATAGGAGCATGCACATTAAAGCATGAATATGTTTATTACTATGCGTACTCGTTTGTGTTGTTTCATGTTCCTCTTCATTCCTAATATTATGTAACAGTATTTGTAATACTCGTGGTATGGCTGGCATTCGTGTTTGTTTTTTCAGATTAGTACTGTCATTAGTTGTCGCGCTCGTCTTCGTATTAGTCTTGGTATTGTTAATATTATGCTCCGTATTATCATGGCTCTTCCTAGGCAGGTCATTGAATTGCTCCGACCTGAGCAGAACGTTACACTGCTCGAGAGGGACCATGACCGTTCAGCGCCCCCGCCGCCGTCGTCGTCGTCGTGCTACAATGCTTTTCCTCGACGTCGGCCTCCAGGGGCTCGTTCTGGGCCACGGGGCCGTCAGGAATCGATCCGGGAGACAACATCGGCCAGAATGAGCCTCGGGGAGCTATCTGGAGACAGCCTTTTTAAACGGATTCTGGTCGGAGGGAGCTCGGGAACTCTCGGACGGCGCCGTCGTCGTTGAGATTAGAGGCCCGAGGACACAGGATCAAGGTTTGGGCACCTTCGTGATTCTTTTGTGGGCGTCCAGGGTCCTCCCGAGACCTCTCGGAGACCTCCAGGGTGCGCCGTCCGTCCATGCATCCATCCGCCCCGCCACTCCGCACGAGCTCCCCATGCAGCCTCCCCGCCTCCCTGCCCCCTCCCCTCCGGGGGAGTGAGGGGGCGAGAGGGCGAGGGGGGAGGTTGCAAACAAGGCTGCAGCAACGAGTGGCTTGTTGGCGATGGAAGGCTGGTAAGTCAGCAAATAGACCGTAGACTCTGGCGGCGGCTACGTGTTGGGGCCAACCTGGCCCTTGGGACAGGTTGCGATACATGCCTGTGCGAAGGGAGAGGGAGGGAGGAACGGGGTCGGGTAAGGTCAGACGGAAGGGGGGGTTAGGGAAGGGGGGTATTCTGCGAAGAATCTGCTGCATGCAGCTGGTTTCGGCTCCACCGCTGGGTTTTTTCTTTACAATTACGTTGGATCTTCGGCGCCGGGAGGCGCTGGAAGAACCAGCTACAGTCAACCCGCATAGAAAGAATGAGCGAGTTTCCCAGATTACCCTTGCATCCCTTCCCTTCGGCCCATCCTTGCCCGCTTTCGCTGGCCGCGCCCCGCCCGCAAAGTGTCGGCATGGCCTTCCAAAGCCCTTGCAGCCTTATCGTGCGTCCTTCTCATAAGGGCTGATTGTACGTCAGCTGATTCGCTGACCTCCCCCCCCGTTACCATCCCCCCCTTGTCGTTCGACTCGAGACGGGAGGGCACCGCCGCAGCTCATCCCAGAGCCCCCGAGTCCGCGGTGCTGTGTCTTCACCCGCGCGGTTGCCCAGTCCGTCCGCTGGGGGGAGTTCGGCAGTGGGCAGCGAGCATCGACTGTGGTATTCCTCCTCGGCGGATTCTATCGGCGGGTGGGTAGGGCACGTGCGCCCATTGGACCTTTGGGAAACAGGAGGACAGGGAGAGGGAGGGGAGGAGGAGGTGGTGGAGGAGGAGGAGGAGGAAGAAGAGGATGAAAGGAGGAGGAGAAGGACCAGTGTAAGCCCAAGAGTCATCAACAATGTTGCAGTAGACTATATCTCCAAGGTCCCTCTTCCTAGGTCCCTACAAAGACGTCCTGTCAATGTGGGAAGTGCTCCTGGGACGTCGTGCCAGAAACCCATTCCTGGGACTCACACCGCAAGCGCCCTAACATTCCTAAATCATTGCAAACTCCGTTTCTGGGACGTCAACGATAATCATGCTTGAAAGTGTTGTGAACTGTTGCGACGACTGTGCGCGGCCTTCGGCGAGAGCCACATTTGAAAAGGAACCAACCTCCATCCGCACATGTCTTGCAAACTTTCAGACGAATGTGAGCGGCGCTTCGGCGAGAGCCGCATTTTGAAAATGGCCCGCCCTCCACCCGTGAAACTCTTGCGAGTGTTAAGAAGAGTGTGAGCGGTGCTAAGGCGAGAGCCACATTTTGAAAACGGCCCGCCCTCCGTTGGTGAAATGTCTGCAAACTGTTAAGGCGGACGCGCGCGGCGACAGGGCGAGAGCCACATGTTTAAAACGAGCAGCTCTCAATTTGCAAAATCGTTACAATGCTCTGCTCAAGGATCATAGATGGTGAGGAAGTCTCAGGCGAAACGCCCGGCCCGCCCTGCCGACCCGCCTGGGGGTGCGACGGGGAGGAGATGCATATACGGAAGACGGATGCAGGAAGGCAGCAGCACCAGTTTGCGGGAAGAGGATGCGACAGCAGGGATGACGGGAGTGGAAGGCGGCCAAGGGAGAGGCGCAGGGGGCCGCGCAATTTGGCATCGTTCGGACGTGTGCATTTTTGTTCCTTGCGGGGACCATCGAGGAGTATCTTGACCCATCTGGTGGAACATACGAACACGAAATCGAAACATGCATGACTTAGTGGACGTCCGAGCGATGGCGAGGCAAAAGGGCCAACGCGAGTGCAATGCGCAGGAGCAGGAGTCAGGAGGGAAAAAACACACAGACACAATTAATCGTCGATCCCCCGGAAAATATGGGAAAATATGGGAAGTGGGGGGGAAGACAAAAACCCAGAAGATATGGGAAAATATGGGGACTCTGTTCTTTTGTGTGTATCTATTTGTGCGTCCTGGGGCCCCTTCAAGGAGGAGAGGGGCGAGGCACGAGGCGAAGCAGGAAGGGGAGCAGGAAGTGGGAGGCGGCAGCAGCAGGAGGCGGAGCAGCAGCAGGTGCAGGACGAGGGGAGGAGGGCCAGTCCCCACACTCGAAAACGACGCGAAGATCGGGACAAAATCGGATCGGGATAACTCGACATCTCTGAGAATCGGCGGGTTTGGAGGATGTATTGGGCGCCGCGGCCGCTCCAGAGCGTTCCGGAACGCTCTGAGAGCGCTCCGGAACGCTCTGGAGCGATTTATCCCGATCCTAGCCCTGTTTTGCTCACTCTGAAACAAACAAAAGCCTCAACAACACTGCTCGTCGTCCTCTCTATCGCTGAGTCCTCCTCGTCTTCCCCCTCCTGACGCTCCTACGTCCCAGCGCTCTGGCATGTGAAGATCTGTGACCGAAGCGATTTAAATTCAGCATGCATATGTGTGCAGTACGCTCCGCCTCTGGTAGCGGGCTCGTAACCCCTGGGCGTGCACAGGCATGGCACCTCTGGAGGTTTAGAGTACGGATCGAGGGGCATGTGGAAACGGGCCGCCTCAAGCGGCACCTCATGTGAGCACCTGCGGGGAGGGGCCACATTACGCAGATCCGTCCAGAAAGATTCCGCCAGGAGCCGGCACAAGGCAGAGGGGTAGGTCTTAAGGGTTGCCATTTTCAAGTTACCTCGCTCGTCGACGCCCAACGCAGCTCTATGCACCCCCTCGGTGCATGCATTTCCCCTGGCCAGGAGACGCCCGAATCGTACTCCCCAACGTTGGAGCCTGCATGCACAAGAAAATCGTGGGCCGTTTGGTGGGGGCAGCAATAGTTACACTGCGCGAGTGTCATCTTATCGGAGCCTGGAAGACCAGCGGTGTACTTCAACGCAGGCAACTGCCAGGAAGACTGGGCCTGTGGGTCCGACGCGGGCTCCGCAGGGTGCTCCATGGTTCGAGGGGTCCTCGAGGCACGACGCGCGGCAAGAGAGGTGCACCCGGTGCGCAAGAGAGCATGCATTACCGAGTTCGGCCCGCTGCCGTGCGAAGGGAGCGAGCTTAGAGGGCCACTTGCGAACCCTACCCCTACCCCCCACGATTTCTGAGGGGGAGGGTGGGGTTCACTTAATTCGAGAGCTCCCGAACGAAGTGAACCCCACCCTCCCCCTCAGACATCGTGGGGGTAGGGGTAGGGTTCGCAAATGCCCCCCTAGAGCTCCCCTCGAGGCCCCGCGAGGCCTCGCGACGGCGCCAAGGGGGGGGCCTGCAGGCGCCTGCTCCTCCGGCAGGGCCCCCCCCTCTGGGAGCGCGCCGGGTCTCGCACGGCGGGCCTCCTCCTCCTCCTCGTCCTCCTCCTCCTCCTCCTCCTCCTCCTCCCCCTCCTCCTCCTCCTCCTCCCCTCCTCCTCCTCCCCCCCTCCTCCTCCCCCCCCTCCTCCTCTCCTCCTCCTCCTCCTCTCTCCTCTCCTCCTCCTCCTCCTCCTCCTCCTCCTCCTCCTCCACTCCTCCTCCCTCCTCCTCCTCCTCCTCCTCCTCCTCCTCCTCCTCCTCCTCCTCCTCATCCTCATCCCATCCTCATCTCATCATCATCATCATCAATCATCATCACATCATCATCTCATCATCATCAGCATCATCAGCATCATCATCAGCATCAGATCAGCATCATCATCAGCATCATCATCATCATCATCATCATCATCATCATCATCATCATCATCATCATCGTCCGTCCGTCCGTCCGTCCGTCCGTCCGTCGTCCGTCCGTCTCTCCTCCTCCTCCTCCTCCTCCTCCTCCTCCTCCTCCTCCGTCCTCCTCCGAGCACCTGCCGCAGCGCCGATCCCGACGAGGCCAGCCCGGTGCCCACGCGTCTCGATGTGGCGCAGGTTGCCCCACAGGAGGTCGTTCGCCACAGCAGTGCTGAAGACCCAGGTCGGCCTGCTCCTGCCGCGCGGCAGGGGCGCATCTTCGAGTCACTGCTGGAGGTCTTGATACCTACGCTCCTCCTCCTCCTCCTCCTCTTCTTCCTCCCTCCTCCTCCTCCTCCTCATCCTCCCATCCCGCATCACCTCCCTCCTCCCCTGCGCCTTCCCCTGCCCCCCCTCCTCTTCCTTCCTCCCTCGTCCTCTTCTCGCCCCTGGAGGCCTGCAGGGAGATATGGCCCACCTCATGGGACAAGCGTTGTACATGCCGGCGCCTCCGTGAAGCATACGGCACAGGAAGAAGTTGTATAAAAGTTTTCGGGGTCGGAAGCCTCCTGCTCTGCCACCTCCTCCGCCACCTTCACGGATCCCTCTGTGTCCTCCTCGCTCTCCCCATACAGAGGAGATGCGCCGACAGTCTCGCGTAAGCTGGTCGCGTAATGTTGCCCTCGTCTCCAATGTGGCGTGCCGCGCCGGCGGACCGCGTAAGCCATCGCGTAAGATCACTAGGGCAACTCGCGTAGGATCCCTTTCGTCTCGTTGCTCATCTGCTTTTCGTCAGCGCGCCCTGGGCCTCTTCGCTGCGCGCGCTGCGCCGTGACTTCCCGCAGGCGGTGAGGAGCCGTTGGGTCCTGGGCTTTCCCCAGTTGAACCCCACGCGCGGATTCTTGGGGCTGGGCTTCTTCACAGGGTCTCTGGCGGCCGCGGCCGCCCTGGGAGTCACCCCGCCATGGGCGCCGGCGGACCCGGCGGTGGGCCCCTGGCTTCGCGCCGGCAAGCGCCGGGGTGGACGCCTGGTGCTCTGGGGCGGGAGGCTGCCCGAACGTTCTCCTCTCAGGAGGGGGAAAAACACACACAGACACAATGAATCGTCGATTCCCCGGAAAATATGGGAAAATATGGGAAGTGGGGGGGGAGACAGAGACCCAGAACATGTGGGAAAATATGGGGCATACTTTTATGTGTGTGTGTATTCATTTGTGTGTCCTGGGGCCCCTTCATCCTCCGCCGTCTCCTCCTCGATTCCTTTTCCTTCTAAGCAGCTTCTCCCCGTCGCACCCCGAGGCCGGGCGAAGGGGCGGGCGGGGCGTTGCGTTCGACCGTTCCTCACCGCGTATGGCCTTGAAGCTTCAGAGTTGGCGACAGCTTCGCAGCTGGAGGGCGAGCGTTTTCAACGTGTGGCTCTCGCGCACTGGCGCCGCGCACATTCGTTTTCTAAACATGTGCAAGGGTTTCACGGATTGAAAGCGGGTTGCTTTAAAAATGTGGTTCTCGCTTGAGCGCCGCGCACATTCGTTGAAGACATGTGCAAGGGTTTCACGGATTGAGGGCGGGTGGTTTTCAAAATGTGGTTCTCGTTTGAGCGCCGCGCACACTCGTCGAAAGCATGTGCAAGAGTTTCACGGGTTGAGGGCGGGGGGTTTTCAAAATGTGGTTCTCGTTTGAGCGCCGCGCACACTCGTCGAAAGCATGTGCAAGAGTTTCACGGGTTGAGGGCGGGGGGTTTTCAAAATGTGGTTCTCGCCCTGGCGCCGCGCACATCTGTTGTGAAAATGCAAGAGCTTCCTGGATTGAGGACGGGTGGTTTTCAAAATGTGGTTCTCGCTTGAGCGCCGCGCACATTTGTAATGATGTGCAAGAGTTTCACGGATTGAGGGCGGCTCGTTTTCAAAATGTGGTTCTCGCTTGAGCGCCGCGTACATGTTTTAATTGCAAGAATTTCACGGGTTCCCATGGTCAACGTAATTACCAGAAATGGTGTGTTGGAAAGGTTCAGGATTATGAGGGTGCGACAGTTACGTTGATTCGCGGTGTTGCAGTCCCAGGAATGGCGTTCTGGCACGGACCAGGATCGTCAAGACGCAGTCATATTGATTCGTGGTGTTGGAGTCCCGACAGTAATGTTGTTGCCATGCTTCCACGGTCTGCAAACGGTTGTCTTCCAACGAGGCAGTCTCCTTCAGTGAAAATGAACCCGTGGATGGGGCTTGTGGAGAGGGAGCTTGGATTCTTGGGTTGGCACAGGTCCTCCTCCTCCTCGTCCTTCCCCTCCTCCTCCGTCTCCTGCTCCTGCGCCCCCTCCCCTCCTCCTCCTCCGTCTCCTCCGTCTCCTGCTCCTGCGCCCCCTCCCCTCCCCTCCTCCGTCTCCTGCTCCTCGTCCTCCCCCTCCTCTTCCTCCTCCTCCCCCTCCTCCTCCTCCCCTCCGCCTCCTCCTCGTCCTCCCCCTCCTCCTCCTCGTCCTCCCCCTCCTCCTCCTCCTCCTCCGCCTCCGCCCCTGCGCCCGCCCCCCGGCGGCGACGGCCGCGGCACCGCCCGCCCCCCTTCGGAGGAGTGGTGGCTCTTCCTCGTCGAGGCGGCGGGCCCCGCCCCGAGGGTGCGTCCGGGCGGCGCCCTCCGCCCGTCGGAGGGGGGCTCAGTGGAAAGGCTGCCCTTCTCTTAAGATCGGGGGCGGAAAAGAGGGGGGGGATGACTAGAGGGGGATGGATACCATGGCGCGGGCCATGATCTCTCCGCAGATGTCATTGCACCTCTTCTTATTTCATTACGTCCCAGGCCCCCCCGCTGGGCCGCGCACATGCCGCCGGCCATGATTTGCACCCCCCCCTCTTGGACACCCCCCTCTTGGCCGCTCCCGATTAGATCGGGCATGTCCTCCTGCAGGCGGATTCTGGAAGGAAAAATCTCAAAATGGGTTTGCCCTATTAGGAGTCCTAGCCAATCCCTACTAATTGGTCCGTTGCCCCCCCTAGTTCCTATGACCCCCCCCTAACGCCTATGCCCCCCCCTAATTCCTGATTCCTACGGTTTCCGTGCTTGCTTGTTAAGGGCTTGCGCGCTTGCTTGCGCGCTTGCACGCTTGCTTGCTTGCACGCTTGCTTGCTTGCGCGCTTGTTTGCACGCTTGCTTGCACGCTTGCTTGCTTGCTGAGTTGCGGATTCCAAGCATGCTCGATCCCTCTGATTCCTTGATTTGAGTCGTCTAATCTATTTGGAGTCAACGCTGGCTGATATAAGAAATGGGTAAGCAGTTTAACAAAGAGCACTGAAATCGTCACCATCGTATTGCTTGACTATTCTTGAATACTCCTCCCGTAAAGGGGCATGCCCGGCTTGACCCTTCTCTGGTCCTCCCAGATTTCGCTCGGACTCGTGCAATTTTTCTCGGCGCAGAGCATCGAGGCGTCGAGGAGCATGTTGGATCCGCGCGGCATCAAAAAGTGCAAAGGGAGTGGACGTCCGAGGGATGGCGAGTCAGTTGACAGTTTGCCCTTCTCAGTTCCTTCTGATGCACTGAAGCCCTCTACTCATGCAAGGCAGAAGGAATGGACAACAGATATGGAGTGGTAACCAAGGACGCACCTAGGAGAAGAAAAAAAGGAGGAAGGGCCAGGGGAGGGAGGCAAGAGGGGAACAAGGAGCCAGGTGCGTCCGGCATTCCCTGCCCCTCGCACCCATCGAGGGCGGGACGGGCGACGGGCGACTGCGAGTGCCGGCCGTGTCGGCACGCCGTCCCCGTCGTCGTCGCTGTCGTCCCGTCACTCCTCGTCCGATCCCCCCTTTCCCACCCCCACCCTCCCCGTCCTACCCCCCCCCCCCCCCCGTCCCCCCCCCCCGTCGTCGCCCCGCCCTCCTCGTCCCATGCCCCTCCTCGTCCCATGCCCCTCTTCGTCCATGCCCCTCCTCGTCCCATCCCCCTCCTCGTCCCATCCCCCTCCTCGTCCCATCCCCCTCCTCGTCCCATCCCCCTCCTCGTCCCATCCCCCTCCTCGTCCCATCCCCCTCCTCGTCCCATCCCCCTCCTCGTCCCGTCCCCCTCCTCGTCCCGTCCCTCCTCGTCCCGTCCCCCGCTCTCCACCCCGCCCCCCCTTCGAGCAGAGCGGCGCGGGCTGTGGCCGCGCCTCGCCTGCGCCGTTGCTGGCAGCGGGAGGAGGGGGGAGGAGGAGGACGAGCGACCCTGGGCAGCTAAGAGGCCCAGGGGGCCCTCAGAGTTGCACGCGCGCCGCACACGCGCACACCCTACTACTCGAAACGACCTTGCTCGCTTCGCTGCTCAGGGTGTGAAGGGTGACGCGGCGTGGCCGCTCAGCCTCGCGGCAAAAGCTCGGGAGCCTGGCTGAGACGGAGGCGCCACCGCACCGCCAGGAACAGGCTCACCTCAAGCCTGTCGAAACTCTCCGCGATGCTGGCGTCGCAAGACTCCAGGTAGGCGATGATCATGTCCTGAACTGCCGCTTTCTCATTGAAGGGGCTGTACTCTACGGGCAAACTCCTCTTCACGATAGAGTCGGCAATCTGGTCCAGGAAGAGGTGCTTTCTCCCCGACGGCTGACTGCGTGCGGAAGTGGATGTGTCACCGTCCTGGCGAGAATTGGCAACTGCAGACATGGGGATGGCGAGCTCATGAGCCGTCCCCTTGCCGGCGCCCATAGGATGCTCTTTCGCCTCAAGAAGGTTGTGCCCCTCCCCGTCCGCGTCGCAAGATTCCTTGGAGGAGTCGCGCAAGGTCTCCGAAAAAACCCTTCGACCTTCAGAGCGGCACTCGTCCTCCATGTCGGCGCTGGTGGCGTCAAACATGAGCCCAGAAAGCGGTTATCTCATCTTCAGAGGCTCCTCGATTCTCATTGCTCATCTCCTTGGGTGCCAAGTGTAGCGGTCGCTGTCCGTAACAAGCGAAACCAAACTATTGTTGTCCGACTCGTACTCCGAAGCAGGCGCAGGATGCATAGCAGCACCATTGCAAGCAAACCAATCCTTGAGGCGGTGCAATACATCATCTGCTGCGCATGGGTGCCGAAGCAACGCAGAGGCCCCATCGAGGATACGGCAATCAGGAACGAGGTGAGAAGGCATACGGGCTCAGCTTTGCGAACCGGCTCCAAACCTTTTGCCATCGTGCTGCCTCCCAGGACAGCCACAACACTCCTGGCGGCGCCTGCGGATCCAGCTGTGGCGACGAGGACGCCCTTTGCCCAGACCCCCATCGAGTCATGAAAAATCACGACGGATGGTGTTTCTATGTTTTCAGTCTTTGGGGGCCTTTATTGGGCCTTAGGATTGTCCAAAATCGATTCAGGATGAAAAACCAGTCCTGGGGAATGCGTCGAGACCTCTGGGGGTCGACGCTCTGAAAAATAACGGTGCACAGATGGCACCGAAGACGCGCAGGAGCCTCTCTCCTCGAGCCCTCCCCCCTCTTTCCCTGGCAATCTCGCCCCCCCCCCCTTCCGCGGCGCGTGCCCCGCCGCCGCCCCTCATGGGCGCCTCCGCCACCGCGCGCGCCGCTGCCCCTCCGTGGCCCCCCGCTCCGTCTGAAGTCGTGGCTGGGTGCCAGGGCGGCGCGGAAGACCCTGGGCGTCCTTTGGGTTTACGCACGAAGCCGAAAAAAGCACAGGGAATGGACGTCCAAGCGATGGCCAGTGGGCGCCTCCGCCGCCACGCGCGTCGTTGCCCCTGGTGGCCCCCCGCTCCCTCTCAAGTCGGCGTTGGGTGCCGGGGCGGCGCAAGAAGACCCTGGGCGTCCTTTGGGGTCCTGTAAGGGTTTGGGGGCACCGGGGGAGGTCCGTCTCGTGGAGGACTCGGCGACCCTCTCGGGGGGTGGCCCCCGTGGCACTGCCTGGCCTCCGCCTGCCGGCTGCCAGAACGGCGCGAGGGTCCTCTCCAGGCTCCTGGGAGGCCGCCAAAGCGGCCCCAAGAGAGCTCCGAGAGTCGGGAGCGCCCGAAGAGGCCAAAATCTCCTCCTCCTCCTCCTCCTCCTCCTCCTCCTCCTCCTCCTCCTTCTCTCCTTCTCCTCCTCCTCCTCCTCCTCCTCCTCCTCCTCCTCCTCCTCCTCCTCCTCCTCCTCCTCCTGCAGTGTCATTGTTTTTTCAAAGTGGTTAGCCGTCTCGCGCGTTCGAGCTGCCAACGCTCCAAGACGGCCGAAAAGGCCCCCAAGACCGCCCCTGGACCGCCAGAGGGCCCCCAGGATTGCTCCATGCCGGGCCAAGAACAGGGGGAATGCAAAGCGGCAATCCCGGCTTTCCGCTCCACGATGCCCCCAGGAGGCCCCAAGAGTCCCCCAAAGAGCCCAAAGAGGCCCCCAAGAGCCCCGAAACTACAGCGTAAAAATCGAGATCCCATGAGTTCACCCGTCCAGCCTAGCTAGAACGTCAGCGCGCGCGCGCCAAGAAAGAGACAATAGAGGGGACCTTCCAAAGCCTTACGAGCGCTTTGCCCCAAGGTGGCCCCAAGGTTCTCACAGAGGTACTCGAGGCGCCCCCCAGATGCCTGCGAAGACTCCCGGGAAAGATTCGCGCGTTGCCTCAAGATGGCCCCAATGTTCTCGCAAAGGCCCCCGAGGCGCCCCCCCAGATGCCTTCAGAGACCCCCGGTAGGCTCACTGACTCACGGCCCAGGCATGGCAATTTGAAGAAAAAGGGAATTCCAAGAAGTCATTTTTTTGTCAAACACACCCCTTGTTTATGTTTGCACAACAGACCATAAGTTAGGCCTCCGTCACCACCGAAGAAAGATCCCAGGAGGCCTTAGGGCCCCAAATCGTCGAACACCTAAAGGACATTGATGATGTTGTGGTTTCCGCATTTCCCCTTCTATGTGTTTCCGAGGCTTGCGCAGGGACTCCAAGATGGTCATTAGATACACAAGGCACTTCAACCATTAATATTACATGTGTTAGCCTGTCGAGCCTAGCTAGAACTTGAGCGCGTGCGAAGCGCGCGATGGTTCTAGTATGTGTATATATAGAGAGAGATATACATATATGTATAACGCCTCCCTGTCGCGGCGGGCCAGACGTGTCACCAGAGCTTCCGTTTCATGTATGATCCTGAAGCCAGGAAGTTACAACAGGTTCACGGATGGAGGGCAGGCGGTTCTCAAAATGTGGTTCTCGCGTTAGAGCCGCGCGCATTCGCCTTGAAAGTTTGCAGCAGTTGCGGGTGATGTTCGACGTGCAGTTCTCATCGCAGCGCCGCGAACGTTCGTTTTAAAAGTTCGGACCAGCTTCATTGATGGAGGGCACATTAGTGTGTGAAAGTTTGCAGCAAGTCCAAGGACTCGCATGGTTGAAGTTTCTAGATTTTGTTCTGGCACGATTTGTACAAGTCAGGACGCAGCTGTCACGTGATTTTGCGGTCGATGAAGTCCCAGGATTTGTTTTCTAGCACGTTCTAGGATTGTCAGGACGCAACAGTCACGTTGACCCGCGGCGTTGAAATCCCCGGAACTATATTTTGGGACCGTTGACAATTCTTAGACGGTTCATTTCTAATGGGCCGCTTCTCGCATGATAATATGTTTTGCAGGGACCCATCACGGAATCGTTGGAGTTCTTGGGTTTACATTGGTATTCCTCTTCTTCTTCTTTCGTCCTCCTCCCATTGCATGTTCCTCCCCGCGCCCTCCTCCCTCTCTCGCCCGTCCTCCTCCCGCTCGGCCTCCCCTCTCCCCGCGCCTTTCTTCCACTCTCTCCCTTCTTCCTCCTTGCCCACGTTCCCCCCGCGCGCCCCATTCTTCCACTCTCGCCCTTGTTCCCTCCCCTTTCCTCGCCCTTGTTCCTCCTCCTCATCCCACCGTTCCGCCGCGCGCCCCGAGGGCGGCTCCGCCACCACTCGCATCATCGCCTCCCAGGCGTCCCCGCGGGCGCGGGCGCGGGCGCCTCGTCCTGGCAGAGCCTGCGCTCGTCGCCGCCGTCGGCGCTCACGGCTCCGCCCTCGCCGCCGCAGACGTTGCTCGCGCCGCGGCCGCGGCCGCCGCTGTCGTAGTCATCGGCGTCGTCGCCGTTGTCGACAGAGAGGGAAAGGGAGGAGGAGGAGAAGGAGGAGGAGGTTCTCGGGGGCTCGCGGCTGCTATTCAGCTTTGCGGAGTGGAGGTTCCCGAGGAGGAGGAGGAGGAGGAGGAGGAGGAGGAGAAGGAGGAGGAGGAGGAAGAGGAGGGCCAGAGTAAGCCCAAGGTGTGCCAACGATGCTAAGGATGCATTGGTGCACCCTCCTGTCTGAAGTCCCCTCCCCAGGCATCCCTGCGTGCACGTAGTCCGCTCCTCTGCGGGACGCCCCTTTTGGACGGCGAGTTGTGTTGGGCCTGCCACTCAGGCAAAGCCCATGTCAAGGACCCACACTCCATCCTTCTAGCCTTAAGTCGGGCGTGTCCCTCCACAGGAGGAATATTCAAAACTACGCAGAAAATAGGTTTGGGATTGTTTTTTTTGTTTGTTGACTAGTTGGGTGTTGTTGGAATATGTTCCATGCTTCGCCCAAAATGCGCCTGTAGGGGGACACGCCCGACCAAGTTCCAGCCGGAAGAACGGCAGGGAGGTGAATTTCTGAAGTCCAGGGACGTGTCCAGCAATAGCCCCGTGTTGAAAAGGATCCGCCCCCCACGCGTGCAAGAGTTCCGCGATTTCAGATGTACGGTCGCAAAGTTTGCAGGAGCCGAATCGAGAGTCCCATATTGAAAACGAAGCGGTCTCCATCATTGTAGCTGTCGGATACGTTGAAAAAGAGTGCGTGCGGTGCCCAGGCGGGAGCCGCAGTTCGAAAAATGGCCCGCTCCATCCGTGTAAACATTAGGCTATTCAATGCGTATGTGCGTGGCTATGAGACGGCAGTCGCATGTTGAAATCCAAACGGGCTCGATCTCCGCAATTCTTCGAAAGTATGTGGAAATATCAAACACGAATCTGCGCGGCGCTGAGAGAGCCGAATTCTGCAAACCACGAACCCTATATCTGTGCAATTTCAAGTGTTGGGACTTAATTTCCAGGACAGTACACATTGCAGGAATTTACTGCGACACGCCCGGCCGAGCTTACGGACACGTCTGGTGGTACGACAGGGGAAGTGAATTGCAAGGAAGAGGAATGAAGGAGGTGGAAGAGGACGAGGGCAGGGCGGAGAAGGAGGATAATTGTTGTCGCTTCGCGAATCCCCACCAGCCCATCCAGAAACGATGCCCAGAGGAATTGCCTCGATCAGAGAAGTGGGCAGCACACAGAGGAAGCCATTATGAGACATCTTGGGATATCTTGAGCCATCTTGGAGGTCATTTTGGGCTCTCCCAGACGCTCTTGGAGTCATCTTAATCCGTGCCCCCCCCCAAGAGGCCTCCATGTGGCTAAAACCTGTGTAGAATCAATGATTAGGCATTCTCGCCGAGGCCTCTTGGAGCATCTTGGGTGCATCTGGGGGGGCTCTTGGGGCCTCTTGGGGGTCTCTTGGGGGCCTCCGGGGGGCCTCTTGGGGGCCTCTTGGGGCCATTTTGGGGCCATCTTGGGACCTCTTGGGGCTTCCTGGGCGCTTCTTGGGGCCATCTTGGAGGAGATCGATCAAACAAGAGGGGGGGTTAATTAGCGCCCCCCCTCGGAAGCCCCTAAAATCGCCTCTTGGACCCCTCTTGGAACGCTCTTGGAGTGCTCTTGGGCGCTCTTGGGGCCGTCTTGGGGCTCTTTTGGGGCTCTCTTGGGGCCCTCTTGGGCCATCTTGGAACCATCTCCAGGCCTCGGATGGCCATCGGAAGCGAAAAGGCGAGAAAGCAAAAATCATTGATTTTCCTTAGGTTTTGGGACGATTTTGGCCTCTTCGGGGCCTCCTTGGGGAGCTGTTTGGCCACTTGGAGTTATCTTGGGGCCGTCTTTGGGCTTCTTGGAACCATCTTAGGAGCCATCTCGAGCGATCTTGCGCTATCTTGAGCCATCTTGGAGCTCATCTTGGGTTCTCTGAGGCGCTCTTGGAGCCGTCTTGGGCCATCTGGGACGCTCTAACTACCCGCGGCCCCCCCCGTCCAGGTCCAGGGGAGGGGGTAGGGGGAGGGGTAAACCCCTCCCCAAGGGGGAAGAGGGAGGGGTGGAAGAGGATCTGCTCTAGACCACCTACGCCCAGAGGGCTGGTGGGATTAAAGGAAGAATCTCGAGGCGAATCTGGCCGTGGGAAGTGGGGAGAGAGCCACCGGTGGGAGCAGGATGGAGAGGATCCATCCAGGCGAGCTGCACCCCACGGCGCCGTTCGAGACGTTGGAGGTCCAGGGAGAGGGCACGAGGGGGAGGCGGAGATGCAGCTGCCGAGGGTTTGGATCAATCAGGCGATCGCAAACATGGATCAAGGGGGCGTGGACTAGCGACGGGTCACGCTTCCATGGGAAGTCGCGGATCTCCGCCGCCGAACGAGGCGGCAGCGGCCGCATGTTGGGGAGGGCACCTCCCCCGATCCATGGATTTGGCGACCGCGCGCCAAACCCATCCTCCTCCTCCTCCTCCTCCTCCTCCTCCTCCTCCTCCTCCTCCCCTCCTCCTCCTCCTCCTCCCCTCCTCCTCCTCCTCCTCCTCCCTCCTCCTCCTCCTCCTCCTCCTCCCCCCTCCTCCTCCTCCTCCTCCTCCTCCTCCTCCTCCTCCTCCTCCTCCATCGCTAATCCATTCTTGCGCGCCTCCAAAAGATCCGCAGGGGCTCCTGCTCTCGACAGTGCGCTGCAGCAGGCAGGAGCCGGTCCAGGAGCCGGCCGGCCAGCAGGTGCCCCCACGGGGGGCTCGTGTTCCCCGATGGCCCCGCGGGCCCACGGTCGATAGATCGGCGATAGGCCCCCGACGGTGAAACCGCACGTTCCTGGGCGGGTCAGGGCCATCGGACCCCTGTCGGCGATGAATCGACGACTGGGGATCGATGCATCCCCCCGTACAGTCGGGGCCCTGAAGAAGGAACCCTTTTGGTTGGGAAGAGGCTCCGCGTTCCTAAAGTGTTTCGCAGCTTGCCTTTTCGATCGGAAATCGAAGTTTAACTCATGGAAAAAAGGGGCCTCGTTCCTTATTTTGGGCTCCTTAGATCAAGCCCCCGACTGTACGGAAAGACTGGGTACAATGCCCAACATCAGGAGGGGAAACAACACACAGACACCATTAATCGTCGACCCCCCAGAAGAATATGGGAAAATATGGGACTTGGGGGGGAGAACAGAAACCCAGAAAATATGGGAACATATGGGGAATCCTGTTATTTGTGTGTATTTATTTGTGTGTCCCAGGGCCCCTTCACAACAGTTCTTGTTCACTTTGAGCAGGACTCGCTGTCGGTGTCCCCGCTGCCTGTGCACATTTGAGACAGGAGGCCGCCTGCCCAACAGCGGCCGCTGTTGGTTTGGGACAACATTTGCTGTTCGGCATGGTGCCCATTTTTTCCGTATCCATTTCGGGAGTCCAAACACTGGAGTTTTGGGACGCCTTCGGCGGTTGACCGGGTCGACAAGGAGGGTGCCCCACAAGGTCTTACAGCAGGATTTCTTGTCGCAAGTGCTTGCCAGGGCGCGATCTGCACGGTGGTTGGGCGATGTCGCGGACCGTGTTGGTGTTGATGCTGGTTTGCTGCAAGGGCGGAACGAAGACAGATCGAGGGTGAACGAAAATAGAGAAACGGAAGTCAGTGTTTGGCTCGCGTCCTGGTGCCTGTTGTATCCTGGCAGCGCGTCGGATGTAAGATGAGTTGTGCGGGGGCCAGGGGGCTGGACGGATGGGCCTGGGGTCGAGACAAATCCGTTCCAGAGCGTCCCAGAAAGCTCTCAGAGCGTTCCGGAGAGCTCTAAGGGCGTCCCGGAGAGCCCTAAGGGCGGTTGCGGCGCCCGATACGTCCTCCCGAGCCGCCCGATGCTCAGAGGTTTCTGATTTGTATCGGTCCGATTTCGCCTCGATTCTGCCGTCGTCATAGGGGGGGGCCTGGCGACGGCCGCAGCGCATCCGGGACACCGAGAAGGTGGTGGTGGAGAAGCTCCGCTTCCAGGCGCCCCCGCTCGCCATTGACTCACCGCCCGCGCGCTCGCGAGGACGGCAGCCACGGAGCGCAGCAACGACGCGACCACGACGATGACGAGGGGTAGTTCGGCGGCGAGAGAAGGGGGGAAGTGGGAAGGAGAAGGCCTTCTCAGAAGGCGGCGGGGCTTCTCAGACGCCTCCGGCCTTCTGAGAGGTTCTATGTATCTTCGGGGGAGGCTCAGGAAACTTGTCCGAAGTCTGAAGGACGTCCGAGGCTTCTGAGCAGGCCCGCCCCCATCTCACTTCCCTCCCAGGCCCGGCGCCGAATGGTGGAGGATTCGGGCCTTCACTGCCTCTCCAGGGCCTCCCCGAGGGGCCCTCGCCACCTCGGCTGGTTTCGCTTCGGGCTCCTTGTCAAGGCGGGGGGGGGGGCAGAGGAGGGCGGATTGCCAACAACGAGGAGCAAGGCGAAGAGGGGAGGGGGGGACGAGGAGGGAGCAGGAAGGGGGAGCAGGAGGAGCAGCAGGAGCAGGTTGGCTGACAAGGTCGAGCAGGAGGGCAGACGAGGAGGGGGAGGACCGGGGAGGCAGAGGGGAGGGAGGGCGGAGGGGGAGGAGTCAGAGCAGCGGCACGGAGGTGGGAGGAGTGGCCTTGACCTTCCAGAGTGCCAGAGGATGGCCCTCTGGACCTGCAGACTTGTCCGGGCTGCTGAAGCCTCGCTTGCGGTCTGAATCCACAGGCCTTGGTGCTATGTGTCAACCGTCCTGGAGAGTCAGGGGACGAGGAGCGAGGAGGCGGACGAGGAGGGCGGAGGAGGAGGAGGAGGAGGAGGAGGAGGAGGACGGCGGAGGAGGAGGAGGAGGAGGAGGAGGAGGAGGAGGAGGAGGAGGAGGAGGAGGAGGAGGAGGAGGAGGAGGAGGAGGAGGAGGAGGAGGAGAGGAGGAAGAGGAGGAGGAGGAGGAGGAGGAGGAGGAGGAGAAAGAGAGGGAACGCCCCGCAGCTCTCGCGGGCGGGGAAGCACCAGCTGGTGCTGCACGCCATGTGCGACTCCTACGCCGGCCTGGACAAGAAGGCGGGGGGGTCCAGCCGGCAGCGCCCCGGGGTCGCCAGCACACAAAAAAACGGTCTCGGGACAAGAGGTTGAGTCCTGAATCGGTTGCGCGTAAGATCTGCGACCGCTTGTTGGTCACGCCAGTGCCAGGAGTCGGAGGTGGACAGACCTCCTACCCTGACACGTCGATTAAGAAATCGGCCGTTTTCGGCTCGCGAGAGGGCGTCGCGGCCGTCATTTTTGCGGGTCCAGGTCCGTCGGTTTCGGTCCCAGGCCGTTTTCACTAAGGGGAGGTCTACTAAAAGGAGGTTTGTCCACCGCCGAAGGAGGGGGATGGTGGTCGTGACTGCACGCCAGTGCCAGGAGTAGGTTCGCAGAGTTGGTGGTGCTGTTTTGTGGTGTTGCTGAGTCTTCCCGGCCCTCCTGCGAGTTGGGCCCTCGTTCTGAATCCGCAGCGCCGCGCGCCTCCCCTCAGGAGGGGAAAAAACACAGACACAATGAATCGTCGATTTTGAGGAAAAGATGGGAAAATATAGGAAGTGGGGGGGACGACAAAAACCCAGAAAATATAGGGAAATACAGGAAATCCTGTCATTTGTCTTGTGTGCATTGGGGGGCCCTTCAGTCTCCTCTCCTCCTCTCCTCCCCCCTCCGCGGCCGAGCGGCTGCCTCTGCACGGAGAGGCCCCGCCGGCACGCCCCCTCACACGCTCCGCGGTTCCATAGGGGGCTCCGCAGGCCCGAGTGGCTGCGTGTTCGCACGGCGGCCCCACCCCATCTCGGCACCCCTCGCACGTGCCGTGGCCCCATGTCAGGGGAACAACAAGTGAGACAAACATGAAAACTCGGAGGTCCGCGCGGATTTCTCGGATCGGCGCTGGGGCCCCACGGCGGCGCCTCCGGCGCCGCCCCTGGCGCGCTCCGCGCGCCAGGGAGGGGGGTCCAGCCCCGTTTATGTTTATGTGTATGTCACTTGCTGTTTATGCCACTTTTTGTTTATGTCCAGGGAGGGGGCTCCGCGCGTTTTTATGTTTATGCCATTTCTTGCTCCGTGGCCCTATGTGGAGCTCCATCGAAGGCCGCAGAGGTTGCGTTCGCACGGCGGCTCCGCCCCATCTCCGCGCGTGGCCCCACATGAGGCCACGGGAGCGTCCCCGGAGGCCCGGGTGGTTGCGAGTGCATGGCGGCCCCGCCCTATTTAAGTACATCCCTCACACGCTTCGTGGCCCCATGGGGAGCTTAAGCGAAGGCTCCAGCAGCTGCGTTCGCAAGGCTGCCCCGTACCACTCTGTCACACACTTCACACACTTCGCGGCACCATAGGGAGCTCCATTGAAGGCCCAAGCGACCCCACTGGCTGCGTTCGCACGGCGGCCCCGCCCCATGTCGGCACACCTCTCACACACCCATGTCTCACGCCTCCCATGTCGCCCCATGTCGGCCCCATGTCGGTTAGAGAGCCTGACCGAATGTCCCAGTGGTTGCGTTCGCATGGCGGCCCCGCCCCATTTCGGCACTCCTCACACGTTTCGTAAGCACCTGAGATGGGTTGGGTCATCCGCCTGGCTTATTCTGCACGCTTCGCGTGTCCCCACCAGTTCTGCTGGATGAGTGGGCCGGCCGGCTCGCGGCGCGTTTAGCTGCTAATTAGGCCGCTGTCGTGACCCGTAGCGCTTCTGACTCCGCTAGCGCCTTCGCTAGCGGACGCGACCGAAAAAGTGTCCCCACCAGTTCGCCCCCTCTCGCCGGCCCGCCCGCCGAGGCGCCGCTGAGGTCGCCGGCCCGTCGGCTTTGGGCAATTGGGCTCTTGCGCGGCCCGCTCGGACCTTACTCGCCGTTGGCGCATTCGCCTGCGGCTGCGACAAAAGAAAGTGTCCCCACCAGCCCATTCAGAAATAAAACAGGGCTAGGATCGGGATAAATCGCTCCAGAGCGTTCCGGAGCGCTCTCAGAGCGTTCCGGAACGCTCTGGAGCGGCCGCGGCGCCCACTACATCCTCCAAACCCGCCGATTCTCAGAGATTTCGAGTTATCCCGATCCGATTTTGTCCCGATCTTCGCGTCGTTTTAAGAAACCCTGCGTTATGAGAGCTAACGAGAACGGGACGAAGGGTGAACAGAGAGATCTTTGGGCGCAAGGGGGTGGTCTCGGAGGGACTGTTCGGGCCATCGCCGAGGCCCGCGAGGGGAGGAGGGAAGGGGGAGCAGGAGGAGCAGCAGGAGGAGGAAGACGACGATGGCGACGACGGCCACGACGACGAGGAAGAGTAGCAAAAGGAAAAGGAAGACGATGAGGGCAAGGACGAGGAGGAGGAGGAGGAGGACAACGAGGACGAGGGCAGAGTCCTTAAAATCGCCTCTTGGAGCCCTCGTGGGACTGTTTTGAAGGATCTTGGGGTCCTCTCGGGGCCGCCTTTGGGCCGTCGTGGGGCCCTCTTGGGAGCCCTGTGAGGCTTCGTGGGGCCATCTTGTAGGGCGTCGGTCAACGGAGGGGGGTCCTCGATTTCTGTCCCCCGCTGTGTCCGCTTCTTGGGGCACTTGTAGGCCCTCCTTGGGGCGCTTTTGGGCCGCAAGGTCTGGGGGGCCTCGTGAGCCCCTCTTGGTCCTCCCTTGGGCGATCTTGGAGCCATGTTGAGGCCTCAAAAGCGCATCGGAAGCAAAAAGGCAAGAAGGCCAAAATCATTGAATTGCCTTAGGCGTTTGAAGGATATTGGCCTCTTGGGGAGGTCCTGAGGGGGCTCCGCGAGCACTTGGAATCGTCTTGTGGCCCTCGTCGGGCCTCTTGGAGGTATGCCGGAAGCTATCTTGAGCCATCTTCGATTATTTTGAGCCGCTTTGGAGGCAATCTTGGAGCAACGGAGGCCCTCGTGGAGCCATATTGGGCCATCTTTGGCGCCCTGACACTTCGCGGCCCGCTCCATGATACCTCAGGCAGGGGAGGGAGAGTGTACCCCTCCCCGAGGGGAGAATGCTTGGAAGAGGAAATACATAACTCGCTAAGTAGACGACCTTAGCGCAAAGGGCTGTCGGGATTTTCTGGAGTGGGGCGGTTTTAGTAAACTAAGCATCCCGCTGCAATCGACGTTTCTGCGTGAACAGCGTATTGACAACAGCGAATTCGTCGGGGTGCGTTGCGCAAGCGGCTTGCGAATCCTACCCATACAGGTCCACCCGACGCTGGGGTATGTCGGACACCCCCGATGGGGAGCACTTGGTTGCAGGCATCCTTCCAGTTCTTAACCCCAGCCGATTTCTCGGTTTCTCAGAAATCATACTTGCGAGGGTGGGGTTCACACGTCGTTGCCTGTAAGGGTGCCCCCCCTCCTGGCAGTTCCCTGCGCGCTTGGGTTTGCCCCTCCCCTCCCCGGCCCCCCGGAGCCGCGCGCCAAAGGGTACCCTTGCACATGGTCATTCTTGCGTGTCACAGACCCGGGGGGGGAAGCCCCATGTGGGAGGGAGTACGATGTAGAGGGAAAGAAGTCACCGTCGTAGCAATTGTTTCAGATGAGTTCCCATACTTTGTGTACCAAAACGCGAGAAGCACGGAAACCTGCTCTAACATATCGCCCTTGGCCCAGGCGACCCACGATACGCAAACAAATGAAAGAAGGCTCGAGGTGTCTGATTAAAGTTAGATCTTTCGGGAGCCTCTTGGGGCGCCCTCGTGGCCACACTATTCCCCGCAAACATCTCACCAGGATGTACCCCAGGACGGGCGCGAGAGGCGTCTCGACAAATCGAGACAGTCTATGCTTCGTTATATCTCCCATGGATGCTTGATTCGAGCCTGGCCCGTCCTGCTCACCCTGCACGGCCACTAAGCCAGGTCACACCGAGCCCAGTCCTGCCAAACGCTTGAGATCAGTGCCGTGCGGCTTCGCCGCCTGGGCAGGTCGGTGCTCCCGCACTCGTGCCTCGGCCACGAGCTGGGGGGGACCCTCGCCGCCCCTCTTGGCGCGTCGCCCCCGGTGCTCACACGTGGCGCTCGCCACCTCCTGGTCACAGGGGGGATGCAGGGGCAAAGTCCGGGGGGGGATGGATCTGCGGTTCGAGGCTGTCGGACGTTCTCGGCGGCTTTTTCCAGCCTCGGGATGCCTTCCGCAGCCGCGCCTCGCCCAGGGCGTTCCGGGGGTGCGCGGAGCGTCCCGCACGCCCGCCGGAGAGAGCCGAGCTGCGGCCCGAAAGCCAGGGGGGCCACGCCAGAGCGGGGATGGCTTCGGGGGTGGTGCATCGACTCCGAATCGCCATCTCACCGATGGGGGCCCGATAGCCCACCCCGCCCAGGAGCGTTCGGATTCGCTGCCTAGGGCCACTCGCCGATCCCAGGTCGGTGTGTCCCCCCCTGAGCCGGATCCCCCCTGATGGTGCTCAGAATTTCCCGGACCCAGGGGAGATCGGTAAATTCAAGCCGCATCAGGCCGCGCGCATCGCATGTCGCTCGCGGAGCTCGCCGGCCCATCGCGAGCGAGCTGCACGGCCGCCGTGTTCTGTGCAAACGGCTGGGGAGACTCAAGAAGTGGCGAAGCGTCCTGACCGACCCATGGGCCCACCAAAGGATGTTCTACGAGCCGCTTATGAGCTGCACGAGATGTTCTTGGAAGAGTTCTGGCTGTGGCCGTATTGATGTAGCTCTTTGGTGCTATGCTCTAGGAGCACTGCTTTGTCACGAGGGCCTGTTATTCTAAGAACTTCCGTGGGAGGCCTGTGGGAATTCCACGACGGCTTGTCTCTGCTCGAGAGGCTGACTTCATCCAGCCGCGGGTTGGGTGTACATGGTTGTGCGCGGGCAGTGGACGTTCTTTTGTCGCGTGGGTGCCGAGGAGTTCTCCCCGAGAGCTGGAGCCACGATGTCGGCGGGGTGCGAGGCAGGCTGTGCTCTGGTGATTCGGTGTCGTTCTCGACGTGAACATTCGGGCCGCCTCATCCCTGGAATCGTGGGGCGAAGCTGGTTGCGGAGCACCGATCGCTGTAGGAGACGTCGGTCGATGTAGATGTTCGTGCTCCCCGTGGGGGTGCCGTTTCTGCAGATCGCGCCCTTACGAGGGAGGGTGAGCAGCGCGCGCCGCAGGCACGTGCCGTTCGTTGAAAGCGTGTGAGTCGGAGTTCCTGGCCCTTGCGCGGACAGTCTACTTCCAAGAGCCGACGGTGTTTGGGTTGCACCGCCAGTTACCCTCGGCGGGCCGAACGCACAATCCTTTGCAACTGCATTCTTACGCCATGCTTATGCTTTCACCAACTTCTACCCAACGACATGTCTCGTTGCGTGATATCTGACCCCGAACCAACCGAACCAAACCTCTGGGTCGGTGTTTGAGGTCACCGCGTGCTCGCAGCGGCCACAAATCGGGGCAAGGTGTTGGTCAAGAAGTGACATGCCCCTTCACATCCCCCCGCGCTGCGATGCAAACGTGGCTCGCACTCGACCATGTAGCGGCAAGGGGTCATCAGTGTATGTCCAACCTGGGCAGCCATGTTTTTTGATTTGGGGTCGGATGTCACGCAACCAGAAGCGGGATTCTCCCCCGTGGGGTGCGCACTCCGCATCAGGGGTCGACCAAAGCATTGTGTTGGCAATCTCGTGGACCGTTTTCGTGTTCTCCCAGTGATCATGTTGTGTTGAGTCTACGGCCCACCACTAGCCAATCACGACTTCGGATGTGCGCCAAAACACTGTTTCGGTCCATCAGCCAGACCGCTTTCCTTCCACGACGCCTCAAAACGACACCGAAGCGAAAACACAAAACGTTGTTTAGGTTGACACCTGCTCCCCAACGCTGGCAAGGCAGTCGGGGTACTCGCCCACTTCGACCCGGTGTGCCTCGGGCCAGCGCCGCGACGGAGCCCGCCCATACACGAACTCCTCGGCACGTTGCCAGCGGCCTGCCGCTTCCGCGCCCTCGGAGGACGGCACGACAGGCTGCGCGCGCGCTCGGTTGTTCGGCATTCGGTTGCCCCGTGCCGACACCGACTGCAGGCCACAGTGATGGCTCGCTTCCTGCCCCTTCAGCACGGGTGGTTCCTCGGTCCCTATTCATGGTAATCTTGATTCCGTTCTTTGTGATCGACTCCGCGGAGATGCTCGCGATTCTAGATCTTGACTGGGCGTATTAGCCGCAGCGTATGTGTCTTGTTCTTTATTGTTATGCATTATCTCTATCGTCCTCATCAGTCTCCCCCTGGTACTCCTAAGCATCATCAGCAGCAGCAGCATCATCAGCAGCATCTTGATCATCATCAGCAGCAGCAGCATCATCAACATCATCATCACCATCATCATGATGCCTACACCCCCCTCCTCCTCCCCGCCCCCTCTGCACCCTCCCCCCCTCTTCCCCCGCCCCCTCGGCACCCTCAGACTCGAGCATCGGAGCCTGCGCACCCCTGTGGTGGGCAGAAGGAGCTCCTCGAACGTGGAACCCCCGCTGGACGAGGAGCAGTGGCGGCGGGACGGCGACGAGAAGCAGCGGCGGGACGGCGCCCCCCCGCGCGGCCAGGTGGAGCTCAACTTCAACGTGTGCACGGAGGATGAGGCTGCCCGCTTGTCTTGGCATCGCTCGGACGTGTGCGTTTTTTCTCCGGCGAGGCCATCGAGGAGCATCCTTGATCACTTGGCGAAAATACCGCGCACGAGACCGGAAAAAGCACAGGAAGTGGACGTCCGAGCGATGGCCAGTCGTCGGCCACGCGCAGGAGGGGAGGAGGAGGAGGAGGAGGAGGAGGAGAGTGAGGAGGAGGAGGAGGAGAGTGAGGAGGAGGAGGAGGAGGAGGAGGGGGCCGTCGGACCGAGGCGTGAGGTCGAGGTCGGCGCGGGGAGGGTGCGCTGGTGCTCGTCGTGTCAGCCGTGTGCTCTTGCGCACCCCGGGGAGGGTACCCTTTTGGATGGCCTGCGTGTGGTTGGCCGACGGAGGGCCTCGTGCCGCGCGTCCTCGGGGGACGCTCCTCTGGCCTGGGTCCGACTGCAGGGGCGGGAGGGGGGAGGGCGTACTGGAACCTGGCATCGCTCGGACGTGTGCGTTTTTTTTCCTCGGCGAGGGCCATCGAGGAGCATCCTGGATCATTTGGCGAAAAAGCCACGCAAGAAGCCGACAAAAAACACAGGGAATGGACGTCCGAGCGATGGCGAGTACTAGAAGCACCCCTGCTTCGTAGCAGGCGCGGGCCTCGTCTGTGGATGTCAGGCCCGCGCGCTCTAAGAAGCGGCCTCCTGAGAAGCCTCCCCCCCTCACCCTTACCCGCCCGCGCGCGCCGCCGAGCCTGGACGGGGCGTATGTGGACTCCACCGGCCCCGCCTCAACGGAGGCCGTGCAAGCCTGCCGATGTCCGCCCGTTCGACTTCTCCCGACTTGGTTGCCGATGCCCGCCGGTCCGGTTCGTTTCGATCGCCGATCCGACTTATTGTTGTGGAGGACGATCAATGGAGAGGGAGCATGTTGCCAAATAATTTCCAGATGTCTAAAAATGTGTCAAACATGTTTTCAATATGTAAAAACATGTTTCAAGCATTGTTCCGACATTTTCAACACAGTCAAAGTTCAATGATAGGATTGTTAGGGTGTCCATTGTCGTTGCATCCACAAACTTACCGATTCGGTCCTGGGCCCTCCCGCCTGGATCTCAGGAAGCGCCGCTCCTCTCTGAGGGCTGGGTCCACGTCCGCCGCGCTGGCCCCGGACCCCCTCGCGCCGTGGAATGGGTCGGGATGTCCACATTTCCGCGTCGTGGCGAGAACAAACGACGTCGTGGGTTTGGGCAGACATTTGGAAACGTAATTTTGGGGTCGTTACCAAATCGGTGGACATGGATCGATCGCAAGGTGGAGTCGTTGTCGCTGTCGCAGTCTGCATCGAGGTCGCTGTCGCCCAGGCTGTTGTCGTCGTCGTTTTCGGCGTGGCGTTCGTCGTCGTCGTCGTCGAGGTCAAAGTCGTCGCCTTCCTCGGCGACGCCGACGACGGTGCCGACAAGAGGATGAGGGGAGCGTGCGGCTCTTGGCGACGGCGACGCTGTTGGCCCTCACAAAGAAGCGGCCTCGGGCTCTTCCTGGGGCCGCCATGTTCAGCCAAATCATTGGATGTGGCGTTACTGCACGTTACATGCTATTCTGACGTGTTGGCACGACTCGTTTCATCTCACGATGCGTGCATGCAGTGGCCATGATGCCACGATGTGTTACGCAACACTGCGTGCTGTTGTTCTACGAGGGACCTGCGCGGTCCCCCCCTTCCGACCTGTCCATCCCACTCCTTTGCTGTATTTCTTGTCCACTGGGCTCCCACGCCCTCCAACTCCCGCTCCGTCCCTCTCTCGCCCCACGATCGTCCCCCATATGCGCACAGGTCGTCAGAGGCCAGTGAGGGTTCACGGCGCCCAAACGCCTCGATCGTCGAAACTTGTTCATCCCATCCGGTCGTCTCCCCCCCGGTCGGGAGGCAGATCGGAGGCAGTCCGTTGCCGAGGTCGAAGCCGTCTTCGTCGAAGACGTCGTCGTTGAGGTCGACGGCGCCGTCGACGACGTCGTCGTCAGCGGCGGCGTCTGCGAGGGCGAGGGCGAGGGCGAGGGGCGTTGTCGACGGTCGACGGTTGAGGCCGCTGGCCGAGGGTCAGGGCGGCGGGAGCCTGCCCCGCAGGTGAAGCGCGAGGTGATCGTCCACCCCGAGGACGAGGACGGTGGAGCCCCGCCTCGCGCGCGTGTCCTCCTCCTCCTCCTCCTCCTCCTCTCCCTCCTCCTCCTCCTCCTCCTCCTCCTCCTCTTCCTCCTCCTCTCCTCCTCCTCCTCCTCCCTCCTCCTCCTCCTCCTCCTCCTCCTCCTCCTCCTCCTCCTCCTCCCCCCCATCATCCTTGCGGCCCCTTCATCCTCTACCACGGCGCCGTTCGCCCGTGGGCCGAGTGCGGCGTCGTGCTCGGAGCTCGCGTTTCGTCATGCTGCTACGCCTGATCCTCCTCATCGTCATTCTGGTCCGCGTCCTCCGCTTCCTCCTCCTACACCGCCCCATCCGCCGTACACATTCCGCGCACGGTAGGTCGCACACTGCGAATATATGTTCGTAGTGATGTATAGTCGGAGAGTTGTTCGATTCGGCCCATTACCGCTCCGGCGCGGCCGCTTCACCCCTTTCCAGCTCCCTGCTCCTCCTCGTTCCCCTGCCTCCAGCCCTCTTCCTCCCGCTCCTCCTCCTCCTCCTCCTCCTCCTCCTCCTCCTCCTCCTCCTCGTCCGCCTCTCATTCTTGCTCCTGGCCTTAATCATCCCATCCTCTTCTTCCTGATCTTCTGTCAGAAGGAGACTGATGGGAGGAGGATCAAGCAGACGGGCGGTCACCCGCGCGCCACGGTGCATGTCTCCCCAGCCCCCGCAGGGGGCCGCGCCGCGCTCGGAGATCCATAGTCCGCCATCCCCCAGCCAGGTCCCTACGCCCCCTCTTCCTTCTCCCCCCTCTCAACCTCCTCCCGCTCCCCCATCCTCTCCTCCCGGTCCTCCCCGGAGGCGTCCCCCACGCGCCGTGCAGAAGAAAGAGCATTCGCGACGGAGGGTGGTCGATTGTCGTCGGCCCCTGGGGGGGCTGGGCGAGGGGGGCGCTGCCTTCGAGAAGAACGGCATCACAAGCAGCAACTGTCGGAGGTTTGCGCGGATGTCTCGGATCGTCGCGGGACGGTGCCAGAAGCGCCGCCAGGGAGTGGAGTCCAGCGCCGACGCAAGAACTCGGCGCGGATTTCCGGCTGCTGATGTTCATGTCGTCATGTATGGTTGCATTGCCGGTCCCAAGGACCGTGAAACATCGGTTCGGGATGAGCAGCCAGTCCCCGGGGAAGGAGGAGGAGGAGGAGGAGGAGGAGGAGGCGGAGGAGGAGGAGGAGGAGGAAGGAGGAGGAGGAGGAGGAGGAGGAGGAGGAGGAGGGGAGTAGGAGGAGGCGGAGGAGGAGGAGGAGGAGACGGAGGAGAAGGAGGAGGAGTAGGGAGAGGGGAGGAGGAGGAGGAGGAGGAGGAGGAGGAGGAGACGGAGGAGGAGGTGGAGGAGGAGGGAGGAGGAGGAGGAGAAGGAGGAGGGGTCGAGATGCTTGGGGGCCCATGCGCGTCGGGAGCTCCCGACGGCGGGGAGTGCGGGCCAGGCGCCGGGCAAAGAGAGGAGGGGGGGCGGAGGCAGCAGGCACCATGGAGCAGGGGGCAGCTCCGTCGCGGTCGCAGGGGGGCCGTCTGGCTATCGGTCCTGCTGTTCCTCCTCCCTCCTCTCTCTCCTTCCCTCCCTCCTCCCTCCTCTCTCCTCCTCTCTCCTCCTCCTCTCCTCCCTCCTCTCCTCCTCCTCCTCCCTCCAGTCTCCCTCCTCCTCCTCCCCCTCCTGCATCCCTGACGAGAGCTGCAGGCCCGCAGTCGCGTCGTGCCTCATCTCCTGCCCCCCTCCGTCTGGGAGGGCGTTTGCTCTGTCCGGCGTGCTCGGATCGCACCACCTAGACTGCTCCACATAGAGACGCACTGTTGGGGGGCCGCGCTGGTTAAGATGTTTTTTCCCGGCAATCGGATGGGTTCCCACGCGTGTTTCATGTCCCCATAGGGAGCTTCACCGAATGCCCCAGTGGCACCCATCTCGGCACACCCCTCACACGTTCCGTGATCCTATGGGGAGTTCCTTTGAAGGTGAAACCCGCAGCTGCGGTACTGACAACGGCATATGGTTGGGTTCTTCGCCAGGCTAATTTCCCAGCAATCGGATGGGTTCCCCAAGTTTCCGCCACGCTGGCACCTGTGCCTGGTCGTGGGCGCCTCGTGGGCGTCCCCCCGTGCGCTGGGTGCGTGTCCTCAGCTTCCGCCTCGTTGGCGCCCGTGCCCGCTCGTGGGCCCGCCTTGTGGGCGCCCCGTGCTCGTGGGCTCCACGCGAGGTGCAGAGGTCGAAGCACCCATCCCAGCACCAGACCGTCGCAAACAAGTAGGCGGCGAGAGAGCTCAACCCCAAGACAGGTGAAGCCATCGTTTGATGTTGTCGAGACAGGCGGCGGAGGGCATGCAGAGAGGTGAGCTGCAGACATAGTACGACCCACCTTCCTAGTCGCATGTATCGTCATCGTTTGTCGGCGTGCTTTATGCCCGACAGCGAGCAGTCGGTGGGGCTACCCCTCTTGAGCACTCCCAGGCTGGTCACCTGCCTCCCTCCTCCGTCCTCCCTGCTCCTCCGCTCTCCCTCCTCCACGTTCTGCCCCCTCCTTTTTTTCCCTCCACCTTGTCCCCCCCTCCTGTCTCATCGTTCCTCCTCCCTCCCCTTCTCCGTCCTCCTCATCCTCATCACCATCATCATCAGCATCATCATTCTTCCCCTCCTCCTTCCCCCCTCCTCCCTCCTTCCCCTCCTCCTATATCCTCCTGCTGCCCTGGGAGTTAGGAAACAGTCCGACTGGACTGGACCCAAGGGCCGCAGAGTCTCACACGTCCAGCGACCTCTTTGGTTTTTCGTTCTCGGCGCGTTCGAATGTTCAGGTGATGTTCCCTTGCCCCATCTTGCTCCTCTCCTCTCCTCGTGTCGTTCCTCCCCCTCGTCCTCCTCTTCTCCCTACCTCCCCGTTCCCACCCTCCTCCCCCGAGGGAGAGGAAAGGAGGGAAGGAGGCGAAGGACAAGGACAAGAAGAGGACGAGGAAGAGGAGGAGAAGTTCCAAATTGTGGCCGTATGGCGAAGTCTCTGGCGCGACTCCCGCTTTGAAAAGGAGCCGACCTCCATGTGTCTAAGTGGTGCACCATTCTACATGTGTTCATTGCCGTGCACGGAAGTCACAGGCGAGAGTTCCATTTTCGGAAAACAAAAGAAGGCTTCTTGCCGGGTAACTGCTGGATTGTCTTTGAGACGATTGCTCGTTGCGTTCAGATGGGAGACACGTGTTGAGAACGGCCAGCCCCCCTTCCGTGTGCTTTTACACGGATCAGCCCGGCGCTGGGGCGAAAGCCGCATTGAAAAAAACGGCAGGCTCTCCAACCGGATTTTTTCAGACGAATGTGCGTGGAGCTAATGCGAGCGGCACATGTTGAAAACGACCAGCGTTCCATCCGTGCAACAGGGGGGAACGTTTAAGACGAATGTGTTCGGCGTCGAGAGGCACATTGTGAAACGTTTGGCCCGCCATTAGCGTCGAGTCTCTCTTGGAGCCTCCGGATGGCACGATTCGAGGAAGTCTCGAGCGAACCGTCAGGACCAGCCTGCAGACACGCCTGGTGGTGAGACAGGGAGCATACATTGTTCATCTCTAAGTATTCGAAAGTTCTTTGATTTTTGGGGGGGCCAAGATCCTTTCACTTCTAATTGTTCTATCCTGGGCCTCTTCCTGGCCACTAGGGGGCCAGGAACAACTGGAGACGAGCACAACTAGAAATGAGCACGATTAGAAATGAACGACGTGTACGGTAGGTTCGCGTCGTGCCGACCGGCGGCGACCCCGCCGCGGGCGTTCAAGGTTGAACGCCGCCAGTGGCCCAGAATCGGCCTACATAGAACGATCGGGCGATCGAAAAGCCGCCGATCGTTCAAGATAGAACGATCCACGCGGTTTCAGAAACCAACGCCGGGGTCGTCACGACACGAACTTGCCGCAGTTGTTCTCGGGCGGGGCCCCAGCGCGTTCCAGAACGCTCCTGGGGCGCTGCGGAGCTCTCGGGAGCGGCCGCGCGGCGCCCGAGGCAGCCTGCAGCACCGCCGGATCTCGGAGCTCCCCGAGTGCCTCGGTCCGGTGGTGTCCCGGTTTCTGGCATCCTCCTCATGCTAACCAGGCCAAGGGGCGGAGGAGGAGAGGGCAGGAAGGAAGAATCGGGGACGGAAAAGAGGGGGGTGATGACTAGGGGGGGGATATCATGGTGGGGGCCATGATATTTCCCCAGATCCCCAGATTTCATGGCGCCTCTTCTTATTTAATCGCTTCGCTCATTCCGCCGGCCCGTATTGTGCCATCGCAGGCGTTTGCTTGCGCGTTCGTGGCCTCTTGGAGCCTCGGTGGGGCCGTTTGGGGCCTCTTGGCGCCTCTTTTTAGGCCTCTTGGAGAACTCGGGAGGCCTCCAGGGGGCCTCCTGAGCTCTCGTGACGGTCTCTTGGGGGGCTTTCGGCGGGCTCTTGGCGGTATTTGTTGGTCCTCTTGGGGCCTGGGGCCTGACGTTGTTGGTCCTCTTGGGGCCTCACGGGAGCTTATTGGGGCGTCTTGGGGGTGTCTTGGAGAGTCTCTTGGGGCCTCTTTCGGGGTCCTGGGCGCCTTCTGGGGCGGAGGGCTCGATTTTTCAGTTCTCGGTTCCCTTCTTGAGCCCCTCTTGGGCCCGTCTTGGGGCCTCTTGGTCCGCCTTGGGCAGCACTTGGGCCGTCTGGGGGGCGCTCTTGGGCCGCTCCGGGGCCGTCTTGGGAGCCTCGTGGGCCGTCTTGGAGCAGTCTTGAAGGCCTCTTGGGCCCTCTTGGAGCGTCCGGAAGCGAAAAGGCCAGAACGCAAAAAAACATCGAAAAAACCAATGAAAATCAACGATTTTGGCAACTTGGGGCCCTCTTCGGAGGCCTCTTGGAAGGCCCTTGGAGCGTCTTGGAGGCCTCTTGGGCTGTCTTGGGGCCATCTGGGGCGTCTTCGGGCGATCTTTGGCCGTCTCGGGCCTCTCTTGGACCGTCTAGAAAGCTTCTCGGGGCCCTCTTGGACCGATCTGGAGCCCTCTTGGACTCCGAAACAGAACTCCGGCATCTCTGACCCGACCTTGCCGAGACCTTGCCGGGGACTTGCCGGGACCTTGCCGGGGTACTTTTCGTCCGGGGACCCCCAGGGGCCGCCCCGCGCGCGCGAACTAGAAATACTGTTAACCAGGTACCGGAGATCTTAGCACGCCCTGGCCCGTTGGGCCGGCGAATTTCATTACGTCCCTGGCCCCCCCGCTGGGCCGCGCACGTGCCGCCGGTCATGATTTGCACCCCCCCCTCTTGGACACCCCCCTCTTGGC